TTGAGCCTGGCAGAGTGGCCAAACTAACCAATCATAACATCAGAATTCTAAGCACCTGAGAGAAAGCAAGAACCTCCCAGAACATTGCTTTGTGTTGCACCCAACAGAAATACCCCAGGTGGATAACTTTTACAATCAGGAGCTCCTCAGTTGCTCACAGCAAATTCAACAGAGTTTACAAAGACTTATGGCTAGAAAAGCCATACCAGCAGTCATTACTACAGCGCAATATCTAAAACAGGCACACATTCATATAATAGATATTCTACAACCATTATAAATAGTATTATAGAATTCTATTTATTAAGATGACCAACTGCGACACATAGAAATTGATTGCAAAACTCTACATGCAGTATGATCCCATGTGGAGGAAAATACATACCAAAATGTTAACAGGGATAATTATGAATGATTTTAATATTTCTATAGAATGCACACATATTATCTATAAGGAAAAATACATAAGCTGATTTTTAAAGTTCTTTTCTGTTGTAAAATACATGATTATTAAAAACACTTGGAAAACAGCACAACAATCAGTCTCTATTTGACTGGAACAACAGAGGAAGGAGAGTTAGGAATAGAAGGAAACAGAATGTGTAGCTGATCACTCCATGAACTGCCTCCTCTGCCATAAGACAACACTGGATAGTGCCTGGCTATCATTACTTAACATTTTGATTGAAAACTCTATAGAAGAATCCTGATCAAAAGGGCAGAAGCACAGAACAGAATTTCAAATTCTCATAGAATCTAGGCATAATATAGTCATGGAGGCTGGATGAACCCCTGAAACTATTGCCCTGAGATCATCTTTAAACCTTAAACCAAGAATATCCCCTGAAGCCTTCTTTAAACCAAACAGTTGTTGTTATGTGCCATCGAGTTGGACTCGACTCATAGCGACCCCTCATTGGGTTTCCGAGGCAGTATCACTATGGAAGTAGATTGCTCCATTTTCCTTCCAAGGAGTGGCTGGTGGATTTGAACCGCCAGCCTTCTGGTTAGCAGTCAAGTGCCTTAGCACTATGCTACTAGAGCTCCTAAACCAAACA